CAGGTAGTTGGGGGGCTGGAGAGATGGCTCAGCAGTTAAGAGCACTGGCTGCTCTTCCAGAGGTCCTGAGTTCAATTCCCAGTAACCACATGGTGGCTCACAACCATCCATAATGAGATTTGGTGTTCTCTTCTGGCCGGCAGGCATCCACGCAGGCAGAACATTGTGTACATAATAAGTAAATCTTAAAAAAAAAAAAAAAAAATTAAAAAAAAAACTAAAAAAACCCCAACAACAACAAAAACAGGTGGTTTGTAATATGGTCAGTTCTTATTTTGTTCTCCTTGGTCACCAATGTGGTTTAAGTGTCTGTAACAGAGCCTTGCCATTTCTCCAGTAACACAAAAACAGAGATTTCCCAGATTAATGCCACGTGACCCTGCTGCAAGTGTGGAAAATGACCGCTACCTCATACCCCGGCTGGAAAGAGAACTTGCAAAAGCCTTTCTGAGGAGTGTCTTGGCAACATGTACCGTAAGCAGAACAGGGCTGCAGACTTGCTGACCCAGCGGTTCCATCTGGAGCTGTTTCTCCAGATGGAAATCTCGTTCAGTAGATGCGTGCAAAGATCTAGCCATGCAGATACCCAAAGCATCGATTTTAAAAGCAAAAACCAGCAACAACCGAAAGCCTGTATAAAAGTGATGAATACTCATTTAAATATTTAAATTTATTTATTTTTATGTATATGAATGTTTTACTGGCCTGCATGTATGCACATCACATGCATGTCTATTGGATCCCCTGGAAATGGGGTTTCGGATGGTTGTGAGACTTCATATGGGGTGCCTGGGAATTGAACCTAAGTCCTCTGCGAGAGCAAAAAGTGCTCTTTACCACAAAGCCAACTCCCTAGCCCCCATTATGAACATGTAATCAAAAGGTGTAAATATTCACAGCATGTCTAATTGACAAGGGACAGTCACAAAAGCTATGGCCATGGCAATTTTACTTCTGAGAAACACGTGTGTGTGTGTGTGTGTGTGTATGTGTGTGTGTGTGTGTGTGTGTGTGTGTGTGTGTGTGTA